GGAGGCAGGCACAGAGACAGGTGCAGAGGCGGGGACTGAAGTACACGAGGTATCTGTAGGGTCAGTAATCTGGAAGGAGACAGACATAGAAACTGGCACAGAGACAGGTACGGAGCCAGGCACAGAGATAGGCGTAGAGGCGGGCATGGAAGTACACGAGGTACCCATAGGGTCAATGACYTGGAGCAGTTGCAGGTTAGGGTAATTACGCACGAGATCACAGATGGCAGTAATAGTTTGCACCATAGCACCGCCATTCCATAATTCCCAAGAACCAGAGGCACGGACAAGAGCGGTGTAGTGGCCAGGAGTATGTAGAATATAGGCACAAACATGCGAACAATGGTCCGGGTCGCCACCCGAAGGGGCACGCTGCATATCAAGTCGGCGCCTTATCGAAGCAGTCTCCGAAACAGAGACATTGAATCCCCCATGTCGAGTGTAATTACTATCCTGTGGGGGATGCAGAGTCGGGTTATTGCCATATAACTCACGTTCCTGAGCATCAAGATCGGAAGCAATGGCCAAGAAATCAGAGTGAGTATATGGTTCCCAACGATAGGCTTGTAGGCAGATGTTAGTAGCAGCGAGGCCACACAGATTCGGCGGAGGCCGGTCAGGCGGATTTTCTACAGAATCTCCTACAGTCCCCTTGCCAAGTTCATCCTCAGATGGTCCCTCGCCAAAAGACGGGGACGGGATGTTGGGGAGGGCCGTGGTGGGGAGAATGAACGGGTTCTTCTTCGTCCAAGAACAGAGATGGAGGAAAGGGGAGTGAGCTGAGGTTGGGAAGTAGGTCGAAGTCGGCGTCTAGGACGACGAAGTAGGCTTTCTGCAGGGACAGAACATGATGACGGAGTCTGTGTGGACGAAGTGGTTTGTGGATTAGGAAGAGGGGTAACGGATGGAAACAAAACCAGGGGAGGTAGGAGTGGTGAAGACAGGGGTGGTAGAGTAGTCGGAAGGTGGGTAACAGACGACGATAAAACCAGGGGAAATAAAGGCGGTGAAGATGGGGGGGATGAAGTCAGGGGTGGTGAAGTGGTTGAAGCAGAGACAGGGGGGGCAGTTGTAGGTGAGACCCGAAGAGGGAACTCTGCAGGTGGTAATGCAGGCATGGCCACGGATGCCATGGAGGAACACACCGAGACCAAGGGCGACACAATAGATGCGGTGGTCACGGATGCCATGGAGGAACACGCCGAGACCAAGGGCGACACAACGGCTGCGGTGGCCACGGATGCCATGGAGGAACACATCGAGACCAAGGGCGACACAGCAGGTGTGGGTCGAGTTGCTCCCGCGGAATCAATCGTAGAAGCAACCAAGGCCGATGAGGAAGAGGCTGCGAACCGAAAAGGGGCAGCCAGGGTCACAAACGGCATGGAAGGGGTTACTAAGACTGATGAGGACGCAGGTGCGGCAGACGCAGGTAATGAAGAAGAGGCTGTGATAGGTGTGACAGGCGCCGATAATGAGGAAGGGGCTGTGACAGGCGTAGTCCGAGGAGAGTGTGTAGATACGCGAGAAAGCGGGTGATGAATAGACCATCGAAGCATGTTGCGGAACCAGCTGGAGAGGCGGGTCACATGCGCAGGGTACMTGTATTGACGTTTACGAATATAGGAAGTCCATCCTTTCGCAAGCGTTGTTGGAGAGTGCCCGCGAAAAAGCATGCGGCGTGTGAGCATCGCTGCTGCAGTTTTGAAATCATACCAGTTGTTGCAGACATACTCAAACCTAGTAAGCTGGCCTGTAAACACTCCCGCCGGCTGGTGTGCACGGACGTTAGATGCAGCACTATGATAACGAATAATAGGGAAATTCCATTTAGCTGCTTTGTCAAAGACACTCATACGCAGGGAGTCGTCAGGGCGGACTTGGAGGCGTGCACCCAAGAATGTGCAAGAACCATCAGGCGCTGTGGTCTCCTTCCATTCGAGGCCATAGTGCTCTGACGGTGGTGGCAGCTGTCCCCATGAGAGAACATCATCGATCAAGCGGTATGTGAACGCATACCGTTGAGCTGTGGGAAGATCACGCCGCTGGAGGTCATAGAGAGGTAATTTTCATAGGGTTTTTTTTTTTTTTTTTTTTTTTTTTTTTTTAACTGTTTTTTCAAAAGGCAGGTCCGAGCTGTGTCCTGCCGGTAGCTCCAGCCTCAGCATAGCCTGACATACCGGTCAACTGAGGCTCGGACTTGATAGTTGAGCTAAGAACTAGTGGTTTAAGGAAGATGGCATAGTTGAATCATCCAAATGGTCGCTAAGGAATTCCAAGTTAATCCAGACGGAAGACGATGAGGAAATCTCTCCGGAAGGCCTGAAGGAAATCCGGGTTCAATAGACAAAATCAGCGAGGGAGGTCCACATCTTCAAGTCATCATGCAGACAACCCCTATCAACCAGCGGAAAGTGCAAATATGGTTGGAGACTGTCTACAATTGATGGTCCCCCCACTAAAATCCCAATCAATGACTATTCTGCTAAAATTTGATATAGCCTTCACTCTGAATCCCATACCTTACAAGCCAGCTTCTCTGCCAACTTGTCTACCCTCAACCCCCAAACACTCCACTCTTGCGTACCAACTGCCCTATGCTTTTGCTGAGAAAGGGATGGAAACCTCTGTTTTTTGTGATATCTGCCCACATCATTGTTTAGAAGATTGGTTGCACCTCTGGCAGGAATGTGTCATTGCAAGGGGATTTTGGGAATTCTTGAATTCATCATGGGCAGGGCTCTACACGCTGGTGGGCTTCTTTTCCAGAATCAGGACTTGGTAATCATTGGAAGGATTAGCCCCCTCTTAAAAGACCAGCAGTCGGGCCTGCTGGCTCAATACTTCAGAGCAAGATCCTTCTGGGCTCTGTGGCTAGCAAGGAGAGACAGGAGGTTCACCAACACAAACACCCCCCTGTTAGCACGACGCCCACAATTTAAGCAGATGTTCCGTCTTGACATCATGAAAGACTGACTCAAATGCAGAAAGTCATTTACTTCAACTGAATTTGCCAGACACGCTCTCATGGACCGACTTCACACAAGACAACAACCCGTGTGCCAGCCCTTGTGAAACACGTCCCATTTCTGACAGCCCCTCTTGACTGAGAGGGTCTGGGCATGGGACGATCATGGATCACAACCAATCCTGACCACCCTCCTGCTACCTTAGTGCTACCTTGGTACTTCATACGATTTTGCTTTCAGTCTCATCTTGAAGCTAAGCCGAGTTGAGATCTCGGTACCATATTTATTTTTTCCCGAGTAAAATGTGAGGACCCCTCATATAAGGAACGCTTGGATCCGATTTCCAGTATGAAAAAGAAACAGTTGTTTGGTTAAAAAAAAAAAAAAAAAAACATAAAGAAAAGTATGCTCTTAGTAGGCCCTCAGTCGATTAGATGCAGCTATAAGCTACTGATCCGATAATACTTAGGTCATGTACTTTTTGGAGTTTATGGGGATCCGACTAGTTTTCTCGGTCATAGGAAATGCCGACACCGTCGTAGGCCATTTTGGAGTTGTGGTATCCTGGCACGCCGCACGGATTTAATTCCGGAAGAAAATATCCCGTTTTTCAATAGAGCCGTGAACGGTCTCTACAACACAAAAGATGGGGATTTTTTTTTTTTTTTATTATTTTTTTTTTATTTTTTTTTGTCCTGTCCAAATCCAGCAGCCCGTATATTCGTGGCATTTTGACCCTTCGCACACTCGGTACCGACCGCACAACTTTCAAACAGCCACACACAAGGGGACGGTCGCTTAAAGACCTTCCACTGGACCTCGTGGACTACATAGTCTTTACGAGGAAACGGGGGGGCGTCCAGTCAAAAGTGGCGGTGCTGTCGTCATACCTCCTTATTCGGCGGGACTGTAGGGACCCATTTTTCTTTCATGAGTCTCATGGTCTGGCTCTGACTTTTCGGTTTCTTTTACATTCTCTTACGTTTGAAGTACTTTCGAGTTTTATTTTTTTATTTTTATTTTTTTTAATAAATGAACAGAGACTCCGTCTATTGGTGGGGAACAACACCTGCTAGAAACCGGGTTCAGCGTCCCATTTACAAAATATTAAGATAAAGCTATGGATAGAGTTTGGAACAAAGACCTTAGAAACCTCTGAATTCCACCAGCATTGATTGCCAGGGGGGAAGCCCCGATGATTAACTAAGTGAGTTACTTCTGATTTAACATAAGGTCACTGTTTGTGGCATGAAGACTGTAACAAAAACACCCCAGAGCCCGGAGGGGCACCAAAGACCTGGGGTGTTTTGTCATCTATCGTGGTGAGAGGACAAGGGATACATGGTGCGGGGGGGGGGGAAGGCAGGGAATAATGTACCCAGACACAAACAATTCAGTCACCTCTGTCACAATTAGGCATGTTCAGGCACGCTCGTACACACCCATGTACACTCATGCGTGTCTGCACACGTTCATGTAAGTCCTTAAACAATCGTCTCAATCAAGGAACACGGGTGTGGCGGGAAAGGATCAGAGAAGTCTGTTGGGGGGTGGAGCGAAAAGGAAGGGTCAATATTCGACCAGTCGTTCAAGATGAGGCGGTAGTTCCTGCATTTTACCAACTCCTGCCGTTGCTGGTCTTCCCTATCCCCACTCCACTCTACTCTCGCCACCCGTCCACCTGTATCCCCCCCCAGCCAGTCTCTCTCGAAGGAGGATATTGCCTTCCTAATATCCTGTTTAGTGTGAAAGAGGTCCAACTGACACTTCAAGGTTTGCCACTTTCTCATAAGCTCCATCTGGATTTGTTGTTGGATCTGCTCCGTGGCTTCAGACCCTTCTATCTGCACGCCCTCCCTGACCAGGAGGCAACGTTGCCACCAAAGGCCCCCAGAGCACCGCTTTATGACCTAAATTAAACGTATTTTCTGTGAATATGGGCAACTCTTGGGCCTGAGGCCAATATCCTAAAAGTATCGCCCTCCAAGTCCAGGGCCACGGGGTGTAAGGGATCATTTTTCTCCAAATTCTATCCCACCATCACCGTGTTAGTTGCGCTGTCAGACATTGCATAAAGATATGTCCAATGGTTTTTGCACTCCTCCATGGTGGGAAGGTTCGCAAACATCATGCACACGAGGGAAGGGCTTGACGTTTTTGTTCCAGGTTCGTATGATTAATCAGCCAGTTCATAGTTGATAGACACTGATGTGCTATCTGCCACTGTAAAGAAGCAATCTTCGCAGGTTTTTCTTTTCGGCCTTGGAACCGGGATATTGGTGTCAAAAGGGAGCGGTCCACATTGGGGTGCTTTGCCCACCTATCTATTATTTTGTCCTTAAGGTAGCTTTTGGGCTTGAGCATTTTATATGTGGATTTCAAAGTAAACTTTTGAAGGCTGATCGAAGCGGCAGAGTCTGCTCTTCTCGCTGTGGGTTTCCACTTTCATTCCAGAGGGTCGAAAAAGAGGTCTTGAATTTGGATGTCAGGCTGGAAAACGCGGGCTTCCTCACCCACTCCAAGAACCCTAATTTGAAATATGTCAGTTTTGTCTTGCCAGATGAAGGAATCTCGCCCTCCTCGCATTGCTCTTGATTTGTTAATTGCATACATTTCCACAAGGACGTCTTGTGCCCGGGTCATATCCATCTTCCCCACCTGATCATAGGTCCCTCTTACTGCTCTCCAGTTTCCTTCCTGCAGGGAGGGGCCTTTCCTCAATGTTCAATACCAGGACAACGACACCGCTTCAATGAGTATATCTAGACTGTGACCAATGTGGTGACAATATTTCAAGGCCTTATGTAGTTCGTTGGCTGTTTTCCAGTCACCGCGGTCACAGTCCCATATATCTTGAATTCGAATAACCCCGTTTTTCACCCAGCTCTTCTATGGGGTCTCCGAACTGCACATGACCTAGCCCAAACTGTCAATGAGCCAGCGGAGAGGTTGGCGAAACACCTCCTCCAACCTCTCCGGGGGTTGACTGTCCGGGAGGGGGAGTTTCCGCCAGCTTCGTAAAAGAGTCGACCAAAAGAAGTCCATTAGTTCCTTGGGTTTCCCCCTCCTCCATGACCACTTTCGCGGGATAGTCCAGTAATGGTCCTCTAGCCAAGTGAGAGGGTGCACACTCGGGAGAGCTAAGGGGGCCATACGGGCCAGATGTTCTAAGGCCAAGGGTCGCCAAGGATTATCTGTAGCAAAGATTAGCTTTTTGATCCATTGAAGACAAAGTGCCGTAACCTGTGTTGCAGGGTCAGTTATTCCTAATCCTCGTACAACTTTAGGCTGTATTATTGAGTCCCATGCTACCCGACTTTTTACGTTTGTTAGTTCTCCGTCTCCTCATCATAAGAAAGCCGCCACCTTAGCTTTTAGTTCACGTAACGCTCCCCTGCTCAGTGGCCACACCAACGATTTATACTAGAGCGAGGCAAAAACCACATTATTGATCAGCAGCGCACGACCAAAAAGAGATGTGGTTTTGTTTTGCCAATTGGACAATTTGGTTAGGGCAGGGGAGCTGATCCATTGATCGTTAGTTAGTGGGCAGCCGGTTGCTGTCATCGACACCCCTATGACTCTAAGCGGGGCCTCCAGGGGTGGCCAGGAAACACGGGGAATTTTTGGGGGGCAACCTCCCTGATGGTGGATCCACCATCCCTGTGTCTTGTTCCCCAATTGATTGTCCTTTTTTTTTTTTTTTTTTTTTTTTTTTTAAGGCTAATTTTTAAGCCCAACCAATTCAATTACCTGTCAAATCTGGACAGGACGGCCTTTCAAGATTTTTTTATTGTCATTATAGTATTACGGGGAACCCTGTAGCAGTCACATCCGTGCTCAAGCCTCCAACGAGGGAACATGCGGGAGCTGCACCCACCAGCAGGTGTGATACCTGCTACAGAAAGTGGGCGATACCACCCAGGGGTCAGCCGGTAGCATCAGGACCGAGCTTCTTCGATGGGCCAGTCACTGTGCCTCCCCTCCGGTCCCCTTCCCCTATGAACATCAACGGTCTCTGCTCAATGCCACTCGGGGGGACCAACGGGATATCTCTAGGTGGCGGGCGCCAAGCTTGCTCAGGAAGGTGTATGAGGCCAATGGGGATTGAACCCAAAACCTCATGAATGCCACTTCCGTGCCTTACCAACTGAGCTAGGACCTGGGAAAACTTTTCCATCATCCCGTGAATCTCTTCCATTCTCTTCCATGTTGCCAGTGGTGGCCTCCACCATAACTGTGAGATCATCCACAAATAGGGAACACACCGGGACTGCATCTTCGGAGATATTGGTTATTTTGATCCTGGTGATGTCCTTTGGGCTCGACGCTGGATTCATATCCTCCATCATAACGCCACCACCTGCATACAGTTAAATGGCTGTCTGGCCCCCCCAATACGGTTGGAACTGTGGGTTCGCCAAGGAGACCCTATAGCGCCCTTTCTCTTTCTAATCATCATGGAGGCGCTGTCGGCAAATGTCGGGCTTCACATCGTTGAGAGCAAACGAGCGAAAAAAAGTCAGGATCTCTGCCGCTTACTCTGATAGAGCTACGAGTGGGCTCCACATCCTTGAGAGCAAACGATCGAAAAAAAGGCAGGAAAAAAACTGCGTGGGAGGGGAAAAGGATGTGTGTTGGCCGGTGCGCTAATTTTAGCGCTAATCACGTGCGCGTAAGCGCTGCTTCGGCAGCGCTTCCCGCTTAACCGTGATTAGGGCTAGGTTAGCGCCCCACACCCCTCCCCCGTCCTTCTCGCTTTCATCAGCATGACAGGTGGATGATGGCGTGCAGGTGCTAAGTGTGATACACCTTGGTGGGAGACATGCAATGCGCGGGAAACAGGAATGGACGAAGAAGAAGCTCGGCTATGCTAAGTTGCCAACTCCCACAGTGGTAATCCCTCTCCTTACCTGAGTGGGGTGGTTGGTTTTTAAACCATCTTGTCCCTATTTATTGAGGCTTATTTAGAATATGCTTGGTAGATTTTTTTGGTTTTGGCATGTCTCGGTTTGATTTTGACCAAGTGTTTGTTAGTTTCGACCGAAACCCACCTGTCCCGTCCTCCATCGAAGATGGCAGACAAAGCACCCCCAAATCCGGAGCGGTCAATGTCACAAGCCGAAAAAGATAGGATTAAGGGAATAGTGGTGGAATGTTACAACGAGGGATTGTTACTGGATAGGCTCATCTCAGACCGGGTAGAAGTTGGAGAGGATTTTGTTCGGGTAACAGTCAATCCTGGGATTTATGCGGTGCAAGAGGAGGCTGGCCGAAAATGCGGTGTCAGTCTCCTTCGGAAAAGATGCTAAATCATTGCCCGTGAAAGTGAAAATCCGCCTAATTCGCATCCACGAGAATGGATGGGCTCAGAGTGGTGCAATTGATGCCCCTCCTAAGAGGGGCATCTTCCACAACGAGGGTTTTAATTTATTAACCTATGTGGCCTCCTCCAAAGCAATCGCCCAATGGATGCTTAGGAAAAAAGAAAACACGATTTCTTTGGATGGAAAAAACTACGAGGTGTATTTCAATCCATGGATGTCGGAGAGAGAATTATTCGAATGGAGGGAGGCCCACAGGTTTAATTTTTTTTGGATTCGCTGTATGTACGTGGCCGTGGCAGCACTCCCTTACTTGGCGGCGGCAGTCAGCGAAGCATTCGGTAAGGTTTTGAAGAAATATGAGACCTATGCTGATAAAACGTCACGAGAATTGAGGAATATTCGCTTTGATTTGGAACCCGGGGCTCGAATTCGTTATAAACCATATCTAATAATAGATATGGAGAAGGGGGGGTACGTCGAAATCGAGGTAGTCCACGCCCAGACCCCGTGGTGCGCAGTGTGTCGTCAACATTTTCATTCAGAAAATGACGACGCATGCCCTGCAAAAGCGAGCCCGGCTCCGGAAAACAGAGAAAATCAGAAATTCAACCCGTCGGGTTTGAAGGAAAAGGAAAAGAGTAAGGAAAACACCGACAGCAGGGGAAAGGGAGATAGTCGTCAGAATGGAGGGAGTAATAAGAGTGATGGGAACAAGGAAAATGGAGAGGACCCTAAGCACGCGGGAGAAACGGGAAAGGAGAAAGGGATGTCTGACGGCAGCTCCCCACGAGCGGATGTTGAAATGAGGGAGAAGGTGGATGAGGAAGGGGATTTGGAGAAGGGGGATTCCACGGAAAGGCAGGTGGGCAAGGACAAGGAGCAAGGGACAGAACAGAGGACGGCGGAAATCGAGAAGACTACCCGTCCTTCGTACAGGGACGTACTTAGAAATCAGGCCCCAAAGGGCATAAGTAAGAAGAAGAAGCAAGTGGTGAAGGGCAAGACCGGGGGTGGAGGGAAGGGAAAGAAACAGTGGAAGCTTAGGGAAAAGGGAACAGAAGGGTTGGGGAAGGAAAGGCCCACTTCTAGCAGCAAGGGATCAGAAGGGCGTCTGAGAGTTTGGGCACCAAGGTGACAGAGGATCAGGGAGGACAGCAGGAGGGATCAAAGGGGGAGGGGTCTGGGTTGGCGGAACGTCAAACAAAGGAAAAATCAGGCGTCACCCCAACTCCGTCCCCCCCCCCCCCCCCCCCCCCCCCCCCCCCCCCCCCCCCCCCCCCCCCCCCCCCCCCCCCCCCCCCCCCCCCGGAGTGGTAATGACCAGCCTGAGTCCCCTGTTATAACAGAAAATCTATTTAAAACAGGAGAGCAACCGGCTACCCCTGTTAAAAAGGGAAACAGCCGGAGGGGCAGAATACTTCGATTGGGACAGCGGGAGCAGTCAAGACGTTATCCTTAATGTTTACAGGGAAGCAAACTAAAGGTACTGTCTACAACAATGAAGTATATGGGGAAGATCTAACAGATGATGAAGAAGAGGTTAAAAGTAAGATGAAGATGAATTTCGCGGTGATAAAAAATAAAAAAGTTATTATGTCGACCGAGGAAGAAGAGAAGGAAGTATGGGATACAGCGGAAGGGGAGGAGGAGGAGGAGGAAGATCCAATAGAAGATTTCATTTCCCCGATAGCAGACATGTTCGACGAATCAGAGGGAACAGGAGGGGAAACCAGGAAAACACACAGGCAGGAGGAAGAGAAGGGGGACAGGGAACAACGCTTTGCTTTTTCCTCACCTAGAGTGTTTCCCCAGGATGAGTGCCCGCAGACTAAAATAATTCCCAACACCTCCTCTGTGAAGCGCCTCAGAATAGAGGGATTGAAATACCAGGAAAGAAGGGGGGAAGAAGAGGGAGGAGAAGACTTAGAGGAGATAGTACAAAGTTCCCCCTTAAAAAGGGGGCGATCTCAAATCCTTAAGACAGCCAGACGTTCCCTAGCCATGGCAGCGCCAATACGGACCTTATGCAGAGGAGAAAAGGCCAAAGGCCAGATCTCAGAGTACTTGATACCCGTAATCTGCTCCTATGATGGGCACGGACTTAGATTCCTGACCATCATGGGGAAAGATGAGACGCTGATCCTCCCTTCTGTTGTCCTGCGAAGTTCCCCCTCCCCAGTGATGATCTGCAACCTAGTGAAAATTCTTTTATTGCAGAACCTGGGAGAGGTGGGAATTCTCACGGAACCAAAGATCACCCACCACCTGGTGGACATGCCGGATGGAATAAAGGTAGGGCTCAGAATAGCCTTCTTGGACCTGGCCCATATAATAAATAACAAATCTAAGTGGGATGACCTGAGAATATATTGGGTAGAACTCACTCACCTGGTCACTCCTCATTCGGACACAATCCAAAGCATCAGACTCCTGATGGGTTTGACTGCACAGGTCGTGGCAGACTGGGTGGTACAGTCTGACAACCGCACAACAATATTAGCAGACTCCTTTGCTGGTGCGCTCCTAAAAAGGAAAGCAGGTAAAAACCTGAACTTTTCGGTAGGAGAAATCCTGACAGCTGAACAGCCCGCGACGAGCAATGGAGAAAAGAATGAAACCCGCATCCAAGATCCGAGCGGCACAACTAACGATAATGACCCTACTCAGTAGGATCAGACTAGCCAGTTGGAACGTGAGAGGTTTGGGTGACTTAAATGATACATTCAAAAGGCAAAGGGTGACAGAGTGGGTACACTCCAAAAGGATTCAAATTCTGGGTTTGCAAGAAACGAAAATTGGGCCAGATAATGGAAATCTCAAATTGGTGGGGAGGGCCCCAACTGTGGTCCCCAGCAGTAGGGACGAAAGGGGGGGTAGCTATCCTCCTTGTTAAAAGTCTGGAAGTGGAGATTATTGATACATGTACAGACTTGGAAGGCCGTTGGGCTTGGATGAAATTGGCGGTGGCAGATGAAGACTGGGTGGTGGTGTCAGTATACACTCCAGTTGATTATGCAGCCCGGACCAATTTTTTCGCGGACCTTCCAAAAATAATAGCGGACACAGCTAATTTAGTATTGTTGGGAGATTGGAATTGCACATTGAACCCGGGATTGGATTTTCCTAATGTCTTCCCCATTAGAAACGACGCACTGCTGATGACTGCCTTCATGGAATCCCAAAATCTGGCGGACGTGTACAGAACTCTCAACCCTAAGGTTCCAAGGTTTACCTGGCACGGCCCGAGGCCTTCCAAAAACGCACCCAAGCCCAAGAGGCGCTTGGACTTCATATTAGCAAAGGGAGACCCATGGGACATGTGCATGTGGTGTGACATTCTGATGGCATCTGTGTCAGATCACTATCCGGTAGTTATGGAGATTTTAACAAAGGAGATAGAACAGAGACACAGACCCCCCTTTCGCCTAAATATCTCGATCCTTAAAGACCCGGGGATATGCAAATGGATAGAATCCCAGATGCAAGCGTGGAACTCAACAAAGGAGTACTTTGAGGATCAGGAGAATTGGGTGGATGCAGGGATTGGTATCCTACAATCTCCAATGATAGAATTTTCCCGCATGAAAGCGGCCGCCCGTAACTGGAAGGAAGAACAGCTCGTGAAAACCATTGAACAGGCTGAGGCCTATGCAGGTACAGACCCCTTTTTGGAGTTCTACTGGTCAACCAAAAGACTTAAGGCCTTAAATGAGTTGGAGGAGCTGGAAATACAGAAACAGGCCGAACGCCTAGAATGGTTGAAGATTAAAGGTATCCTGGGCGACGATAAAATGACAAAGGAGACCTTTACATCTCTGATGTTACGTAAAGCATGTCCGGTAATGAGGAAACTTTCTCACCTATTTGCACTGGAAGTTGACGTGGCCACTAAGACTGAGGACCTATGCGAGTATGCCATGCAATATTTTAAGGACATTGTGTCTACACGCAGACCGTATGATTCCTTTGATACTAATATAGCGGAGTACCACTCCTTTTGGGACTGCACTTCCGGACACTTGTCTGCTGAAGTGATGACCACATTGGAGGGCCCCATTACACTCGAAGAGGCGTCCAAAGCAGCACGCCTAATGGCGAAGGACAAATGTCCGGGCCCAGATGACGTCCCAATCGAATTTTTTCTTGCTGCATGGAACTCCTTTGGTCAATTCTTCTGCGACATCTACAATGAAACACCGGAATCTGACACTCTACCGAAAGGAATGGTAAAAGGAATAATAACATTGCTATATAAAAAAGGCGATAAACGGGAAATACGGAATTGGCGCCCTATTTCAGTGTTAAATGTTTCGTACAAACTGTTGGCAAAAATTCTAGCCCTGAGACTCGCCGCTATGCTCCCGATGTTAGTGGGACGGGAGCAAGGGGCTTTTGTCAAAGGGAGGTCGATTTTTGACAACATTCTAGCTACGGTACAAGCATTGGAAATAATGGGGAAGGAGAAGAGGGAAGTAGCTATACTAATGCTGGACATGGAGAAAGCCTACGACAAGGTCGGCTGGGCTTTCGTCAATACATCGCTGATCAAGATGGGGTTTGGGATCCACTTTCGTACATGGGTCAAAGCAATGTCCTCAAACGCAACTGCAACGGTCTTGGTGAACGGTCTGAAATCTGAGGAATTTATGCTATCGCGGTCTTTGAGACAAGGGTGCCCACTAGCACCGCTTATTTTTGTTCTACAGTTAGAAATCCTAATAGCTAATATCAGAACAAACCCGGAGATTGGAGGGCTCCGCATTTCCCCCTCAGTGCAATGGAGGGGGGGGGCTATTGCGGATGACCTGACAGTAGCTTGTGATAACTCCGTAGATAGTTTTATGGCATTAAGGGGTATCTTAGACGAGTATTGCTATTTGTCTGAAGCCTCAATAAATTGGGACAAGTCGGTTTTTTTCCTCCCCCCCCCTTTGAGATTTGTGTGGATTGGGGGATTAACAGAATCCCAGTAAATTCAGCTGAAAGATTTTTGGGGCTGCAAGTCTCCTTTTCAGATTGTTCCAGGGTCCAAGACAACATCTTAGCAGAAAGGGTGGCGGCACGGATAGCAGGTTGGGAACGCCGGAATCATCTCTCCCTGTTTGGGCGTGCCTTGGTCATATCATCTTCAACTTTTTCTATTCTATGGTTTCCCTTGACGATACATGCATTGGGCGGCGAAGCGTATAAAAAAATCAAGAATGCAGCAGTAAGGTATCTGTGGAAGCCAGACGCAGTGGACGACCAGGGTTTCTTATCCAAGGTTGCTTGGGAGGTGGTGGCTGCCCCAAGGGGGAAGGGAGGGCTAGGGGTCTTGGACCCCCTACAACAAAATACAGCCCTCCTGGCTAAATGACCTGTTCAGGCAATGATGGAAGTTAACCCAAAGATTTGGATGGAATTAGCGGAGTATATTTTAGGGACGGAATGGGACATGCAGGATCATTCAAAAGTATGGCCTTGCATGCTATTGCCATCCTCCTGCGCGCGGAAACCTACCTCGAGGACTTGGAGGAACATAATGGGGGCATGGAGCAAAGTCAAACCAACGGAGCTTCTCCCCCCTACTACGAAGCAGGAGATCCTAAACCAGCTTCTCTTCGAAAACCCACGAATCCAGAGACCAGGGGGTGGAGTCTTCTCGGCAACAGACGCAGCGGGTAATTTTGGACACAGTTGGATAAAGAAGGGACTGGTACAGTTCAAAGACATATGGGACAAGGACCAATCTTCCTTCTTAGACATTGCTCAGATTCGAAGAAGACTGCCACGCTTGCATAATGTGGCCAAGCTTTATGTGGAGTTAATGGATGCAGTTCCAAAGGAATGGCTAACGCACCTCCAACCAGAGGTGGAACATGCAGCGGCCACGTGGCTTCGTCAGATAGGGAGCTCCAACCAAGTAATGCAGGTCCTGGGCCCTGCCTTAGTCTCGGGCCTCAGGGTACAGAAATGGGCTACACAGACAGGGTCTGAGACGTCAGGTAAACTCAAGTTGGTAAATAAGGATGAACACATCAATAGCACGATACAGATGGTGGAAGCAAGAGTACATTTTCAGAACATTAAAGGAAAGGAGAATGCGGTATTGCTGCGGGATGCAGACAGCTTTAGAGTAGAACCGCTGTTAC